ATTATTACTAAGTGGTCTTCCCCCCACACCTTTAATTTCATGCAATCCTGAACATTTAAATTGATAAAAACCAAAATAAATGTTTAAAAAATAAACATTCATTTTCAAGATTATTAAAAAATAAAAATTGAATTCTGGCAAGCTTATATGCAGTATAACATAGTATTCTTAATTTAAACAAAATAATTATTTACCTAAAAGTAAAACATCTTTGTACATCATAGACCGTTTTGCTGCTCCAAGCAACAGGTGTTCCCCAGCGTGTGCTCTTAGTAAGGCAACCTTTAAAAAAGATCAATAAATAAAAGAATCAGCAGAAAAATAAATTAATGCTAAAATGAAAAATGCACCATAGTCAATAGACTATCCCAGTTACAATTTAAAATACATTTATTTTTAATTTTTAATAACATTAACATAGTTCTTCACTATAATTTTGTTAAAACATGTAACTTTTGTCACTGAGCAATATATATAAACTGGATTTTAACATGGTATATGATTTTGCAAAAAGTTTATCACTGAATACAAGATAAAAATCTCAGTTTCATAATCTCCCTTTCCTTTACATATAAGTTAACTCTTGAATTTTAAGTCTACACCAGAGGTAGTAGTAATAAGGTTATCATGCTTTATTATGGCAAATATTACCATACACTATTGCATTTTGCTCAGCCTGAATCAGTTATCCCAAAGATACTTGAGCTGTCTTACCTCTCCAAAGTATAAAAGCACCATGGATCTACCTTCTACTGAGGCAATTTCACTAGTTCCAAGGCCTCTCATTTTAGCTTTTAGAGAACCTGAAGTAAATGGGCAATTCAACCAACAAACAGTTTTGCTACAACTGCTAATTCTTAATAAGCAAACAACTAAGAAACACCATGCACAACACTAAAAATAGAATGTCTGTAAGAATAACAGAAAACCGTTTAGTATTGCAGTCAAACAGGCTAATTTTGCTCTGGTATATAGGTAAGGAAATCCTGGCGAAACTTATAAAACAAAGCATCTTTCTTATAGTCAATAAAGAAGAAACCTGATTCATACCAGGAAGGCAGTTAAAAAATGCTCACTAATTTAACATTTTACGTTTTCTATTTACATTCCATTGTTTATAATGACCTTCTAGAAGCTTGGCAGAAAGATCTATTTTCTTATGGATTTTTTTCTTTTTCCATTATGCAAATACATTTTTTCCCTTTTGTGATTTTAGTGTGAGATGTTCAAAGCTGGCTGAAGAAACAGAATTCAAATGAAAAAACTTTCAGAATCTCAGCTGCAACAGATCTAACACATCTTCTGTTTGCTTTGTTGTTTGTAAACCTGGTTGCTTCTGAGGTCAGGAAGAGTTGTACAAATTCTTTGCAGAATAAATGGTAACTAAATGCAGCCAAGGGTTATCATATATACAGGAGCACCTGAGAAAGGATCAGGTTTTGTGAGGTAGTTTTAGAGTTTGAGAAATATTTCTGTGGTCTTAAATGTAGGTTCAGTTTTGTAAAGAACCAGACTAAGATTTGTTCCAAGGTAGACTTTTACTCTAAAAAGAGCAGATTCTTAGTCAGCAATCTGGTCTTTTTCCAGTTCCTTCATGCCAGCCTAAGCTACAAAAGCAAGTCATATTGCTTATTTTTTCTTTTCCTGCCCCTGCACAATCAACCCAACTAAAAGGCCAATCTGGATTCCATTCTTTCTTCTTTAATGTAATTCTTTATTCAAGTCTTTTACATGTGTGAAAACCCTTCTCTACTCTAGATTTACACAAGAATTACTGAGATCATCATTTGAAAGGGTCTTCTTTGGCCTGAAGCATTGGTATTACTGGAGAAGATAAAGAGGAATGATCCAAGATTGACTCTCTGACCCAAATCTGAAGTTGTAGCACTGACATAATATTCTCACCATGCTTTTCATTGCAAACTTGAAATATTTGACGCTGTAAACACAGCAAATTGGAATTCTACCAAGCCATTTTTACAGTCATTTTCAGTGTTGAAGCACATTTCAAGGCCAGGTACAGAAATTACCAAGTGACCCATAACAGAACAGAAGTTCAGCACACATAGATTGGTTTAAAATGGCGGAACCTGATCTAAGATTTGTGCCCCCACAAAAGGCAAATGTGTTAGTTACTGATTGAATCTACGCCACTTACAAAAAATTCACTTAACTTAGACTGATTCCACTTTGGGCTTTGAGACTATCTGTACGTAGCTCCAAAGATGAAAATCAGGATATTCTTAGCAAAATATGTGGTTAGTCATACTAGTCTGAAGTCAGGCAGAAGGCAGGACAGGGTGGCACTTTAGAGACTAACTCATTCAGAGAAGCATAAACTTTTGTAAGTTACACCTTGTCAGACTCTATTTCATATTTCATAGTGTCTGAGGAAACTCATGCTTCTCTGAAGTCAGAAGTGAATCCATACGGTGCCACTCTGCCCTGCCTTCTTCCTAGCAGTAAGCTAACCTCCCAGTCTCTTGCTTCATGACAGTACAACCTAAAACAACATGAAGATACAGTTTCTGAATTCACTTTAGGGTTCTCATTCTCCAGTCTGTGGGTATCTGACTTATCAAAAAGTGATGATATATTACATCCATGGGGAAAATGCAAGCACTTTATACAAGTTTAGAATAAATCTTTGACTCGGATTAAGAAAAATGTCACAAGAGCATTCCCAACGCTAAAAATGCTATTTCCTAATATACTGCATTCTATGGCAACTTATCTGCTGTGAATTGGCATCAGTATGTTTGATTGCAGCTGAAGACTCTACTGGCATATGTATCTTGCAAGCATGGGGTAGCTATTTCAAATTAAAAAGCATGCTGTCTCATACTTTACAAGCAGTTGAAGTTGAATATGAACCAAATGTTCGTCAAGGTTTGAAAATATTTGAATGGTGTTTTTTTAAAGCATTATCTTTTATATTTGCATGCCTTTGGAATTTCTGGTGAAGATGAAAATAGAACATTTTATGAGAAGGTCTGGTCTTTTGAAATTTCCAGTGAGAAGATTTTTACCCTTTTCTCTAAGGGCACTGACAGATATGTAGCGCCCCACTGTACCTCACGGCACTTCACAAAAAATGACTTTTTCTATTGGTTTGGTGTGGGGAGGTGGGGCAGGACTGTGCTCCACTTTGGAGCTGATCCAGGAAGAGCAGCATGCATGCAGCCTCTGTCCCCTGCCCTGCCCCCCCACTCTTCCTAGCTCTGGTGCTCTCTGCACGATGGGAGGGAGATAAGAGAGGGAACAGAGCTCCAGCCTGGGGTTTGCCAAGCCTGCACTGGAGTGGGGGGCACAGACTGGAGTTCCCATTCCCTTGTCCCCCTCCAGCACAGGCTGGGCAAATCCCAGCCCAGAGCTCCATTCCCCCTCACAGGGGCAGGGCAGGGACTGGGCTGATGCCTGATCAGACAGAAGTTAATGAAGGTTCTCTGCTTTGGAGCTCCTTCCTCAGAACACTTGTATAATGAGGATTAATTTATCATGCAATTGGGCACTTTTAAAGCACTCTGCAGCCATGCTCTTCTGTTAGGGCATGGCTGTAGAGTACTTTCAATGGACAGATATCATTACTGTCATTGCCTTAATATACAAAATGTACTTCAACTTCTGGTAGTTTTTGTGCTGTGTTTGAAGAGCTGCTTCAAAACAGGGGTCCAGCACCCAGAACAGATGAGCCAGACCAGACAGGAATTATCACACAGCATTTCTACTTGAATGAATAACTGAAAAATAACCAAGTTTCTTTAATTGTTTTATATATAAATGTATATATATTTATATACCTGATCATCCAGTGGTAGTTCACAGAAGGCTGGGATATATTTAGCCCACTCCACAAGGACTAAAAGCTGCTGCTTCATAGATTCACAGACATCACCAATAGTGGCAATTTTCTTTACACTTATGTCAGTATTAACACTAATATTTGACATAGAGATCTGGTCATATTGAGAAAAAAGATATCAAGAATATATCATGCTATTATTTCATATGTTTCCACTGATCCACAGTACATTTAAATGTAAACAGAACATATAGAAGTAATCATACACATCATTGATTTTTTGATAAAACAGACACCATCATCTTGCACATAAATTATAACATTTAATATCCCATTGTTACTATTTTAGCATTGTATTTTATTGCAATAAGAATTATGCTTATTAAACGTTACAGGAGCTCCTCCTTCTAAGCAATGACTGTCTTTAAGATACTAGTGTCCTTATTATTTTTGGTTTATTTCATTTGTATTTATTTATTTATTATTGCATTGAATGAAGTAGACCTTCATCTCATTTTACAAAGAAAAAGCTCAGAGGAATATATAATAAAGTTATAGGCACTCAGAAAGATCTACAGAAAGTATGAAGATTCAGTGTAAAGATATATATGTTTAACTTAAAAAGATAAAACAAGATTAAGTGTCTAAAGAGAAAACTTTGAAGTAAAGAACCATTATGGATGTTTCAGAGAACGTGTACCAACTCTGTGTATGGCTACCATAAGTTCACAGCATTCTGTGAAATATGGAGAAAGAAGCATCTTTCTGGCGCTAAAACTGGAGCATTTTTGGATGACTGGTGAGGTGAATACTGAAATCCTCAACAATTTCTTTAAAAAAAAAACCCGAAACAGTACTAGGCTTGTCATAATAAAAGCAAATGAAGACAAAACTATGCAGAAACTTGGAAACACTTTTCACTAAGATACATGCCAATTTTTATAAAAACCATACACAGAGGCCAAGAAACACACCATATCTGTCCTTCATATGCTATATCTCAAACTAGAAGCAGTGCAGTTATCTTAATGTGTTTCTCTGTGCATGCCATGTTAGAGAAGTTCTGCTTCTTAGTGCTGCATTATGCTGGCTACCAAATATTTTCATGCCTACCTAATCCTGAACCTAACGCTGCAACTATATAGAGACTCACAGTGAAATCATGATCTAGGACAGCTCATAGGGATTGAGTTTTTAAGCTGACATTCACTGATTCCATATAGGTCAGTATCCTGAAATAAAATGTCATTGAAAACCAACAGGGGTGTCTGTACACACCCCCGGTTTTAATCCTTATTAAATTAAATAGGTTTATAAAATTTAAAGTTGTTTATTTTGGAGTGCTGCATCTGTGCTTACACACATTTGTTTTTTTGAATGAATTACCCAGGTCCCTGGCCAGCACCACAGAAAAGCTGGACAGTCCAGCACTGCCTCCCCCCAGCCTGGGCCCCACCCCCACGCCCATGCCCTGCTACGCAGCTGTGGAAGCAGGGAGCACACAAACCACACAAGAAAAGAAAAAGCAGAAGCAATTTTAAGGGGTGAACTATAAAAAAGTTGCAGTGCCCTCTGGTGCACAAAGAGGCTCATTACATGTCTTTGGGTGCCTTTGTGTTTGTACACAACGAATCCATGGATGCGATGCTTTTATTCCCAGCAAGCCAAACTGAACTACATCTGAGGAGTCTTAGTTTAATGAGCCAGAAAGACTTTTAAAGTGTCCAGAAAACCCTCTCATGCAAACATTCATGCAGTTGCAGTACAATAAAAGGCAAGAAACGTGGCATGTACAAAGTCCCCTGGAAATCAGCTCCAAGTTCAATGCTGTAGCTAAGATAAGAATGTAGTCCTTGGATGAATAATCAGGGGAATAGCAAATTAGAACAGATAGGCGGTGTTGCCTCTGTCTACAGTTCTAGTATATAGTGTATACCTTACAGTTCTAGTGCATACCTTACAAAAAAAGGATGTTGAAAAACTGGAAAATTTAATAGAAGGACTACAAGAATGATCTGAGATCTGGAACATGTAGCTTAAAATGAGAGTCTAAAGAAGCTCAACCTATTTAGTTTGCCCAAGAAAAGACTAAGAGATGACTAGAACAATGTCTACAGGTTCCTATATGGGGAACATATTTCTGATAGCAGATGGCTCTTTAACCTGACAGAAAAAGTGCAAATGAAATCCAGTGTTTGAACACTGAAAGTAGACAAATTTTGACTACAAGAAAGAGATTTTTTTTAACAGTGTGGACTAGTGTAATTTAGAGACTGGTAAAATATCTCTCACTGACTTTAAATCAAAACCTGATGTGTTTCTAAATTCTGTAACTTCAAACAAGGATTAATAGGCTTTAGAACTTACTCTATAAGGTTCAACAGTCTGTGTTATATAGGAAATCAGGTTTGGGCTAAGTACACACACTCAAGAAGACCGAGGCAGAATTGATTAAATCTTCAAGGGTTTCTAAGCCACATAGATTGGTTTGGGAGGGAACAGAACACATTTATCCTTCAGTGGAGAGCAAGGGGGCATGCAGATGCCCGTACTGACTGAAGCCAGAATGTAGAAGGCACTCTAACTCACCTCCCAGTTTGCTGGAGATTGCCAAGGGCAGCTGAGTGCAGCCAAGTGGGGGCCATCCCTGATCAGCTGTTAGGAACACATCCCCAACACCCTGCTGATAGCCACGGGGGGGGGGGGGGGAGCAAAGAATCCCCCCCCACACCCACCCCCCCCTCCCAGCAGC